CAGGGGCAGCAAGGGGCGATAAAATCCCGGCGCGTTCAAACCCGATTTACCTGTAGCGCATGAGAACGCAGCCGCGCCACCCTCATTTTCCCAACTTCTCCCCTGAAACAAGAGTTTCCACTTGGGAAGCAGGCTCTCGGCACACCTCCAGCCCACATCCCACGCTGCCCCGTACCTTCCTTATGGCCAGATTGATCCAGCACCGCTTGGGTTATAGAAGAGGGAATTATATTGGCTCTTTGCGGCACCAGCTTCTTCTTTTTTCCTATTTTAAGGGTATCTCGCCAGGTGAAGCTATTGCACTGAAGCCCCTCAGCATACTATTCTTGTATTTATTCACCATAATTACGAGGCAGTTATTTCCTAAACATGTAGTAGCAATTTCTTTGCACTAAGAGGATTTCACAGACTATTTCTCCTTTATCTTTTCCATTAGCAGGCAATCACTGCACAGCTTCAAAAATTTCTTCCTTTTTTTTTTTTCTGGCAAGGAGGAAAACCCCTCTGTATTTTCACATGTTGTGACAATCTAGAAACCTTATATCTTTTTACGCATCAAAGCACTTTCAGTCTGTTCAGGAAAGGTCTCCAGCAGTTCTGTTTGTGCATCGTTTAAAGCCCATGAAACACGAGCTTGTTCGGCCGTTGTAGAAACAAGGAGAGGAACCAGCTGCTTGAGGAGAAGCGAGACCGAGCAGAAATATCTCAATTAGAGACTTTTCAGTGGGTTTCTGGTGTCTCTTTGCATCAGTCCCTTGTGAAGGAGTCAGCCCCGTCTCTCTCCAATCGCTCTGCCCCTGAGCCAGAAGGGATAATGCTCCACAACGTGAAAGCACATCTCTTCTACCCCGTTACCAGCTCAGACTGTTTTGCAACCCCCGAGCTTAAAGCCACGTTTTCTGCCTTTACTGAGGCCGGTTTCACCTGGAGAGCAAAGCAGAGCACTGCCCAGTCCTGCTTTTTAGGGGTGGGGTGGGAGATGAAAAAGAAAACCCCAGGGACGATGGAAAAGCTCTGCAGAGGGGTATTGCAGCCCACCACGCGCTGCTGGAAAGCCTGAGCGGTGCAGGGAAGCAAACTCCCGCGTCCACAGGATTTTCCACCGCTTTGCTGGAGAGTCCCAGGCAGCCAGGGAACAACTCGGGAGCAACACGGGCCACAACCAAGACAACACAGAGACATCCCTGTGCACGTAGCTCCTCAACGTGCTGGGAGATGTGCAAAACGAGAAGCTTCCAGCGCATGACCCAGCACTGAGGGGCAGAAACGCTGCCGACGGAGGAGAAACCTCTTTGCA